ATCCATGGATGAACTGTGGAAGTCACTTTTTATTACACACAAGTGCGTGATGAACAGAATTAGGGACGGACCCCATAGTCACGTAGACTTGCAGTTCAGAGGTGGTAATCGGTGACCTAAGCCAAGTGGGACTTATAATGGAGAGTCAAATAAGGCCCCGCTAGGTTAGACGTGATATTGAACTGAACGACAGCAAAGCTGCCTACCAACAAAGTCGGATGGCGCTGGCGGGGCTCGAACCTCGAACCACAGGGTCTGAAGTACACCGGTGACAGCGACTAAACCACTGCGCCACCACCACTTGAGTTCAATATCCCATCCTCAGGAGTGAGTTCTAAGCATTCTGAAACATGAAATTTATAAGTTTTGGCAGTTTTATTGATTCATGTTAATTAGAAACATGTTTTTGATAAATTCGATTTCAAGTGTTTACAATCACAACGGAATAGAGGCTAACAAAAATACCGAAAGCGGAGAAGAAAATACTTTTTTTATAAAGTGTCTATCCAAAGGTGATGTGGCTACTGACAGGGTAAGTAAAGTTTTATCCGCCGTCGTGTACACCATAGTTAATACCTCTCAGTGTTCTCTACGTCAACAAACGCTTAAAACAAAGATAAGTTGCATATGTTGACCTCATCTATGATTGTCTACCTGTGGTGCGACTAATGTAGATCGAACGACAAGACAGTTATTTCATCTCAGATAAAAAAAACACAATCCACGCTGGCTCACCCACAGAGTGGGAGTGGAGCTGGCTCAAGTTCGATCATTTTCCATCTGGTAGAGATGGGACCGGATACTTCGGGTGACATGCATTTGGGAGTTACAATCATTTACCAAATCTCGCCAAAAATTCCACTCGAGAGCAATAAGGTTTCGGATGTTATCAAGCTCAGAGGCGTTTAGCATCTGACTCAAGGAAACCTGAACTGTGTGCGCACAACAAACTCGGATCCCAGGCTCTCAAACTCCACCGGTCATAGGGCAGAAACACATCACTTGTTATTCACATGACCATGACGTAAGATAGCGAATTTTGGTTACGTCATTCAAACAGTGTACAAATTTGGAACTATCTCTAGGGCCCATTACCAAACACATGACTTATCTAGTTTTCTGCCTGACCCCAGGGAAATCGTTTCATATATACATATGTACGTGTGATTGTGAAAAGAAATTTCCCCGGAAACATATGTTCACCTCCCAGGTGTGTTCTTAATCAATGGACACATTTCGTAATTTTATTTTATTGTATTGTATTATATTGTACTGACTTCTGTTCTCATAAGGCTTACATTTCTGTTAAAAATATACAAGTTGGAGCAAGGGAGAACATAAAAAGATAATAATAACGAAAAACAGAGATTTAAATCTCAAAACTATTAACAAAGTCTGTGAAAACCTGTTCTTTGTTAACTACAATGCGTGCTAATGAGGGTACCGTAGAGTGACAAGACATACATATATCTATATATCTTTATTCCAGAAGGACCTGTAGTGAACGGATGAGAACAACCGGAACTGAAATCTGTGTGCAGTGGGCGTTTGGGAGACGATATGTGCAAATTTTTCACATGCATTCAAATGACGTTCGTACAGTTTAGTTACCAACTCCTCCAGCAGGATCGAAGAGACGCAGTTAATGATGATCAGTCCACATCGAGGCAGTTTAAAATCTTTCATTAAGAGTTTGGAAAAAAATAACAGATGAACAATAAAGTAAAACGGGGAAAAACACACTGGTACACGAAATTGGCAANAGTCGATTGATGAATACCAAACTGACGAAGTTCAGGGCGATGAAAAGAAAGTTGTCGAAGCTTACTGACGATGTGTTGAATGTGAGAGGTTCAGCGAAGATTAGTATCAATAAAAACGCCCAGGTACAGTTTACCCGGGATATTGGTTCAGAGCTGATCGACACTGGATTAGGCCAGATGTGGCGGAAAACTGATGAACTTTATCTAAGTGTTCAGAAAATCTTCGAAGACCAGGCGAGTCGGAGATAGCCTGACACGAAACTACATTGTCAGCGTATTTGAAGAGAGAAGTAAGGGAGCTAGCAGACAAGTCACAACTATATGTAGAAAATAACTAAGAGGAAAGAACTGCACCTTGAAGTACACCAAAATTGTTCACCAACGGTTTAGATTTCTTCCGATCAAAGTTAACCAATGAGGATAAAGCTTAATAAAAGTCCACTGAACTAACGGTAAGAAAAGACATAGGTGATTCCACAACCAGAATGACCCACATGATGTGCGTTGTTTTTCGGTGCAGTAGGTTGATCAAGCAACGAGCTTGAAATCATTATATCATCAAGTCTAAATCATATTAAGTCCGTTGAGATTTGCGTGTAAGAAAACCGGGTTTCTCGTCCCAGTGCGAACTTTGCATGGAATCTGGGCATTGATCAACAAACCCACGGTAAGCCTATTGTTATCAGAGTTTGTAATCCTTTCGAATAGACAGCGGGAGCGGGGACTACTTTGAAGTTGACCGGTTTCTGCCCGAGTGCCCGCTCAAAATCGTAAAGAACATAATGCGACCAACAACAATAGGTAAAGATGTCCCGGAAAGAAGTTGACGCACATCATTGTGCCAACTTTCAGACGGGAGGAAGCGCCGTTCACTGCCCGTGCATTGATCGAGGAGAGAGGGCGAAAGACAAACCAGACTAGGACAAAATGAAGCTAATCACTGATCGGTATGACAGTTCGTTTTTTTTCTTCCTGTTTAGCAGACTGTCTATTGCGTGTGTCTATCGAAAGAACATATGTTCATACGTGGAATTTTTGATTGAACAGGGGTGGGTGGGTGCATGATTTGGGTGAATTTTAAAGTACGACCATAAAACGATAAAGACCAGCACATGATTTCAGTAAATTACAACACTCAATCCCGTAAACTAAGCAAGACGATTGGTTTTTGATATGGTCACTTCTGTTATTACGTAACAATGGTATATGGAGCAATCAAAGATATGCATGGCTCAGGTCAAACTGGTGAGAATGTGTGAAATAAATCCAAACCCGAAAGTGAAATATTATCAGCTAATTTGATAAAAGTGACAATACCACAAAACCTTATTGGCTTTGAAACAGAAAGATAGTTAGTTGATCTTGGTACACTGAGCAGTGTACAAACAACTGTGCTGAGGACTGCCAGAGCTTCTGTTTGGTTGAGGGTGGGTGTCTTGGGTTGTGGCGCGGCAACCCTCTCTCCCATACGATCAATCGTCTCAAATAGTTTCTTATGAGGAAGCTATACTGTCTCCTTGTAGTAGAGGTGTTTTTCCACCAAAGTAGGAGGACAGTGATCAAACATCTGGGGCTATAACCGGGTCGGTCGATCCCTAGTAGTTCATCTGAGGGATTTGGCTAAAAACTCCGATTTCGAACCAACCATGAGGAGGTGTACGAACCACACGCACACAAATTCCTGGTGATGACCGGCTCGATTGGACATCGAGGTGTATTGAGCCCCTTGGATGTCTGACCATGTCCAAAGGGCGTACGATCCGATGAGACCTTGACACCGGTCTCCATTGAGGATTACGGTTTTTGCACACCGCCCGCTGCCTTGCGGATAAGGCTTTGGCTAACCGTTGGCTCCGGTTGTGAATTCCTCAAGAAAATTCACTTGCCTTGGCCTGGGAAACCTGGAAGTATTCAGCCTATGAGCGAATCACGGAATGGTTTTCTTTTTATAAAGATAACTGTATCATGATTTGTTTTGCACATTGCTGCCGCCACTTGGTCAAATCACCAAATGTGCCAACTATGCACGAGAATCCGGATTAGGCCGAGTGAGATTCCTAGCACAATCGATTTGATTAAGTTCACATTAAGTCAACATCATCATACATTCACGCCATGAAAAGATGGCCGTGTAGGTCTGTTCTGATTTCAATTATTGACTGAACTGGCAAACAAAACATACCGAAAAGAAGAAAAATCCCCTGATTATATCTAGAAATAATCTACAATAAGTAGTATATGACAAAATTTCCCTGGAAGGACACGAAATAACCTGAGCAACGACCCACTGTCTCTTTAAATGGATAACTTATCTCTAGGTCCCTCTGGTAATGATCACTCGCAATAGGTTGATAGAGCAGTAAGCCATACTTGGAATCAAAGCCAGGACAGAGTTAGAAATCCAAATCAAACTGTCAGAACTTTGTTCTAGTTAAAATTTTCCGTTTACAGATGCCATTTTATGTGATGAATTCGTCATGTAAATGAGACATGAACTGAAAAACTGGGAGACACTGGACAGCTATTTTGACCAGTTCCGGTCATACAAGCAACACAAATCCATCGACCCCGG